TGGGCTTATACCCAGTTTTGATAATGTGAGAATGAATCTTTTGGCCATGGGAAGGATAATCGGAGTTGATATAGAATTGAAGAACTGAGGCCAGGGAAGAGGATGATAATGGATTCAAAAGGTAGTTATTTTCCGTCTGTAGGGAAGTAAGAAGACTGGATTGCCTTAACAGTCCGAGGTTTGGGCATTTTGACATTTTTCTGCTACTTGGTCAAAATTACTCATGAAGAAGCCATAGAGTATCAAAACTCACAAGCCGCCAATATCCACGCATCAGTCACGTGAGGGTTTTTGGTGTGTGTGTGTGTGTGTGTGTGTGTGTGAGCGTGTGGCAATTTTAATATTGTGCATAATATGAGGATGAATATTAAGGAAACAAAAGTTTAAGAACTATACAAAAATTAAATTTCTATTTATAATCCTCGCGCTTTAAGTTTGATTAGTGCATATCATGAATAAGAATATTAATTAAAAAAATAGAGTGATACAAATGAGTTAGAGTATTTTACATCTGATTCATTTATATAAATAATGTAGCTGCGCATATAAACTCATTCAAGTCAAATTGCAATGTTGTAAAATTTTATGAGAATGACTAATTAGGTGGTGATAGTTAGCGGCTCCTAGTTATTAATATCTCAAATATACCCCTCATATATTAGAAAGTTGTAAATTAGTTTTAAAAAAAAAAAAAGAAGCAAATAATTAAAAATGTAATAGTCCCGTTCTGAAATAATTGTCCAATTTGAATTTTCATTTTTAATTCAAATGGTACTAAAAGTGAAAAAACCAAACTGGACAATCATTTTAAGACATGTATTAAAGAAAAACAATGCATTGACTCACGAATCAAGTCAATTGAGACTAGTATTAAAAATTACATCCATTAGTTTCTTTCTTTTTTTCTTTCTTTCTTTTTCTGAAGACACTATGATCCATTAATTAGAAGGGAAATGTTTACAATATTTTTCCAATTTGTAAGCTGAAATGCGGAATTGGGTTGTAAGAAACATTAATGACTGGTTTTGAATTCGACTTGATGATTAATTATTGAGTTAATTATGCGAGATCAAGTTTAGGAAAATTCAGCCGAGTTTAGATTAGAGTAGATGATAACAATTAATATCTATTTTTAAAAAAAATTAGCAAGTGCTTAGGGTTGTGTCATTTATCATTGATAACTTTTAATACTAGTAATCACTGTCAGTCAATCAAAAGTTAACATAACTAAATAGTACACGAGTTTGACGATCAACCGAAATTATTTATAAATTTCCGAAAATTTACTTTACATTGACTTACGAAAACCCTGTCAACCTTGATCCATTTTGTACAGAACTCGTAATACAAATTGACCATGTTAAATTAATAGATGACTACTATGTGGAAATAGCAATCATAAGGTTACATTATCGTCTATATAAATAAAGGGATGAGAATGCAAATAAAGTGTAAATATCAAAAAGATAAAGGACCAAAATATTAATATAAAAGATTAAACGCCACATTTCTTATATATATGTACAACAACCTCATCAATTAGACTGTGCAAGTTATGTGTCATACAAATTAATTAAATTAAAATTACAGCACTAATTTTCATTATTAAAATTAATTTTTTGCAATGATGACCCAATGTTGAAAATTAGTAGCCATTTGCCACCGCTTACTTTTTGATCAAGCACATTTAGCCTAGCGTTAAGTTAAGTAGAAAGTACATAAGGTGATCACAATTGAACTATAGGCAATAAGAAAAAACTGAGTAAAAAATGTAAGGAAAGGAAACTAAAATACATGAGATCTATTAGTCTACTTTACACGTTGATAGGGGAAAGATTAACTGATGATTTAAATTCGGCAATTCGCGAAATGATGAAGATGAATTAATATAGTAGTTTTTGTATTACATTAAAATTTCATTAGAAAAAACTGTTTAAGAATACTGTGTTAATTTTTCTAAAGATGTAGATTATGTAGATTAGTGTTTCTAAGAAAAGATTTTTGTCGTTTTGCAGTAGATATACTCCTCTTTTTATTATCGGTATGAATAATAAATTCGAGAAGATTTTCTTACTTTACAAGAGTACTTCAAGTCGTGTAGAATATTCTCAGTGCAAATTGCGTACAATCTACGGTCAATACTTATAATCACAATTAAGATGAGAAAAATAATTTTTAACTTTTTAAATCGACGAAGTAATTAATAGTTGGTTCACTGTATAGTCATTAGCGGTGATTCAAAATTAAATCAAAATCTAACCATACAACAGAGGAGAGTTTGACCGTTTTGACCAGCGTAATACAAAAACTACAAATTCAAATTAATAAAAGGCGGTAGAACAAGTCAAATTAATAAAAGGGGTATGGCTTAAAATATTATGTATGATGAAGGGCAGTAGTTTATTTTTTAAAAATTACAAATTGAATATAATTTTAAAATAACAGTTACCCTTATGTTTTAGGAAAAATAATAATAATAATAATAATAATAGAACAAAAACCAAATTGAAATTGATCGGCACGAATTTGAAGCTTCAAGAAGAGCAACATCCATATCAAGCGAGTTGATTTTCAGGCACGAAGAATTTATAAGCTTAACCTACATTGTGCAACAATGCGAACGGCAGAAACTCTTAATCACGCCAAAAGGAAATTGAAACCATTTCTTCAATGACACGGGTTTCATCTCATCTAGAAAAACCCTATTCGTATCTTTTTCTAAAATTAAGAATCCAGCCTCCTCCATATATGGTAGGCAAAGGTAAACTTTCTTCTTGTATTATATGTTTTTTTTGGTCTATCTGTGAATTGAAAATCAATAATGATGATGATTATGATTTCGCGACGATGGTGAATACAATGATGATGATGATGATTTGTGTTTTGCTCAAGTTTGATTTACCGATGATGATGATGATTTTTTTATTTTTTATTTTTGGGTGCAACTTTGATTTTTAAAAGACAACTTGATGGTGATTTATATATGGGTTTTTAGCATTTTCTTCGGCCAAGTTAATGAATTGTTAATCGTTCATTTCTGCACTAAAGTTATCATTGTGGGTTTATGACTTATAGGTCTTCTTTTTGAATAGAACCGAGGTCATGGAGAACAACGTGAGATATTCGTTTTGGACTTTCGAAAGTGATTTTTTCTTGATTATACTCCTTCCATTTCAAAATGTAGGTCGTTTTAAATTTGGAAAATTTTTTTAAAATGTAGGTCGTTTTACAAATTCTAGGCAAATTAATGACTATTTTTCCAACTTTACTCTCAATAAATGATGTTAATCTATTTTTATTTAGTCTTGTTTATAGTTTCAATGAAATTAATGAGGGGTAAAAAAAATATTTAACACATAAATTAATTATTGGATGATTGTCTCCTTAGTTTATGTACTAAGTCTAAAAAGACTTACATTTTGAAATGGAGGGAGTATGTGATAAAGTTTTAACCATGGAGGTCCAAACTGGTGTCGAAATTTATTAAATTTCCTACGGTAAGTATTGTTCTCCATATATAGTTTATGTTCTTTTTCTTCCTTTTACTTTTTCCCTGAAATACCACTGGCCTTCTTGAAATCCATGGAAGAAACCTCGTATGTTGATCCAATTCTATTCAATTTCAAAAATATGGTGCTGATATTACGCCACACAATTGTAGCATTTGCAGCATCTTTATCATATTTGTTTTGGTCATGTGGAATTTTTTGGAGGTTTAGAAATTTGGGGTGCATTTATGTACTTCTGATAAGTTGTCTGTTCCTTTGGCTAATGTTAAGTTGCTATTCAGTTAGCATAATTTGAAGCTCAAGCAAATTAGGATCATGATTGTTGATACAATCATGGTTATTAGGTTTGTCTGCGAATTGAGATTTATAAATTGGATATTTGCATGATCCAGGTGCCATGGAAGGGAAAAGCAAAAATTTAAATTATATTAAAATTATAAGGGTAATTATGTCATTATAAAATTATATTGAATTTGAGATTTTTGACAAATAAATTAAAATATTTTTTTGTCATAACCCTTTTCTTAATTTGACTTGTTCCACTTACTTTTAACCAAATTTTCCCTATAAATTTCTAAAAATTTCCGCATGCACGAATCAGCCACACCAGTAAGTATAAACTACTGATCCATTTAATAACAGAACTCATAAACCGTCAACTCAATACACGTTAAAATTGTTAGGCGACAACCATCTACCCTTAAAAACAAAAGGGACATGAACGTAAATACAACATATAAATATCAACAAGAGAAAGGACCTAAATATAATTATAAAATGCTTTAGTTTTTCACTTTTTTTTTCTAAGTCACTCGGTGTCAGCATCTGTTCGTAGTCACTAGCAGTGATTCATAACCAAAATCAAAATGTAACTCATACAATGCAATAGAGTTTGACCGTTGACCGACGTTTCACATAAATGTCTAGAAAACTCCACACGCACGAATCAACTATGTCAGCTAGTGCCGACTCTTGATCCTTTTAATAACGAAACTCTTAGTTCGTTGACTCCACCACACGTCAAAACCGCTAGCGGCGATGACTACGGCCGAGGTCATATTACCGCACTTCAAAAATAAAGGGACACGAACATAAATACAAACTATAAATATCAACAAGAGAAGGGACCTAAATGTAAATATAAAACACTTCAATTTTTCGAAAAAAAATAAATTAAGATCTGTACAAAACTACACATCACAACAGAACCGAACCAACAAAAAAATGAAAGAAACCTGAGCCAGACTCCCTAGTCTCTTCCTCCAAGACTCAAATAGTAAAAAGATCCATACCACCCCTACCCTACCTGGCCAAAATCCTACATATACAAAATAATAATTAATTAAATATATCTATATCTTTTAGAGAGAGAGAAGAAAAAAACACACAAAAAAAAGAAAGAAAGTAACCATTGGATCTATTTGCCGGACCTTAAAAATAAATAAAAAAGAATTAAACCAACGGCCCAGTCTTAATCTCACGCCCCGTCGCCTTTTATTTGCCTTCATTATCTATCTCTCCCCCAAAAAAAGAAACTCCTCTCCTCGCCGGTTTCCTTCTCTCCCATTTTTTAACCATGCGAATCAGAAAACATGCACGGATTTCCCCGCTTAATCCCACTCCTAATCCCTCCGCCGCCGCCCCCGCCGTCGTTCCTCAACCCACCCTCTGCCAGCTCAACCAGTCGCCGTGGGATATCATCACTTTTCCTCCCGAAGACGACGACGACGACCCACCAAGTCTGCCACCGTCGCCACCTCCATTTCTGGTCAGATTTCTTCTTCTTCTTCTTCTACTTTTTCCTATTTACTCAAAAACCCAGTTCCGGAATACCTTTTTTAGATCCGGGTCTGGGCCCATTTTTTTTATTTCGCTGGCATTTTTTTTTTGGTTTCCCCCGACTTCGTTCTTTTGTGTGTTTTTTTCATCTGGGTCTAGGGTTTCGGCTACTGCTCCTTGTAGGGTTCCCTTTAAAAACATCAAATCCCACCATTTTGATCCTTTATTCATACTCGAATAGTGAATTCATTTTCTGGGTCTTCCCCGTTTTGCTGTATTTCTTGACTTTCTTGTTCTTTTTCTTCGTTGGGTTCGCCATTTTTTGCGGCAGGTCGACCGAGATTATTATTACGGGGGTAGCTATATACCTAATAGGACCTTTGCCAATCACATTGCTGTGGAAGAGAGGTTAGCCTTCTGCCCTTTTACGAATTGGAATTAATTTTGAGATTTTTCCGCCCATTTTTAAATTTTGCTCGATGGATAATTAGGGTTTAAGTTTTCGATCCCGTTATTTGTAAGTATATCCCAGCTGTAAGTATTAGATAATTTCCAACTTAGAATGAACATCCCCATCGCGTATGCAAATCTTTTACAGTACTCCTAAGAAGGAGAAACGGGAGGACGTCATCACGGTGGCTGCTACGGCGGCGGCGGTGGTGGTCGGAAAAGTCAACAATAATCGCCGCAATAAAGTGGAAAATGACACCCCAATGACTGAGGTGGAAGAAGAGGAAGTGACTCTGTGCACAAAGACTGATAAAAAAGGATGGCAATGTGGGGGAATAGTGAAGAATGGGAATCCTTTCTGTGAGAAGCATTTGCCCAAAGGGAAGACCACCCAGAAGAAGAACAATAACTCAGCTCATTCCAAGAAATCCGCTCCGGCTCCGGCTCCGGCTCCGGATTCCGAGGAGAACAATCGCCGGCTGGCACCCCGTCCCCGGAAACCGGCATCGTCAAATCCTTACGAGTTCTACTATTATTCCGGGTTCGGACCCCGGTGGGGGAAGAGAAGAGGTGAGAATCAGAACCAGAATAATAATAATTCGGGTGCTGTTTCTGGGAAACAAGAGGCGTACTCGAGCCTCGAGAGTGGGAGTGGGAGTGACACATCGAGTACTACTAGTAGAAATGTTTCGGTAATTACTGAGGATATTGCTGCTGCTGGTGAAAATAATATTGGGGGGACTAATAAGTCTAAATTATCATCCTCAAAAAATTCAAATGGGGCTGATGATAAAGTTTCGGTCTTTACTCAATTCAAGAGGAGTCATGGGCTTGTTGATTATGATTTGGATGATGACGATGATGGTGATATGGAGGAAGATTATTTCGATGATGATGATGATTATGACGACTACGATGATGAAGACGATGCAAAAATTGGGACGAAAAAACGGGCTCGAAGTCGGAAACCAATTAAGGCTAGGTCACTCAAGTCTCTCATGTAACAAAGGGAAGGAAAAAAAAAAAATTTAATGTTGTTGTTGTTCTTCTTATTAGGATTTTGATATTTTTCTGTAGCTTACTTCGGTGTTGTTTTTAAAAGGCTTGTTTTCTGGGTCTTTTTAATTTGTGTGTGGAGAGTGGACTCACTGTGGTGGTGGTGTACGTGTTGTTTTTGTTTGGACCGTTAAAAGGCTGTGTTAGTGTGTGACTGTGTGCAACGTGGGTGTAGTAAGATTAGATCAGCTAGGCAGCTGCTGGCCTTTTATTTTACTATATTTTATTTTACGTGGATTTTGGGTTTTTTTTTTTTTTTTTTTTGTATGTAGCACCTCTCTGTAACTTTTTATAGCAGTAACTTTCTTCTTCTTGACCAATTATTTATTTTCTGTCTTTTTTTATTGTTTTGATTTTTGATGTAGTTCTTTACTACTGGGTAAATAACGGTTTGGTCCCTTACACACCGGATGAAAATGAGGTTTTAGAAAAAAAGAACGAAACTTTGATTTTATATATGCTGATTATGTTGGCAACATGTGTAATTTATAGCATTCAACTTTAGGGTTTTCTTTTTCTAAAATAATAAAGTAGATTATCTCCCGAAAACAAACTTAATTCATTAGTATTTTCGCCAATGAAAAATGTAATTTCTCAGCGCAGCGTTATAGATATTTATTCTAGAAGAAAATTGGCCAAACTCTAAACTCCGGGAACAAGAAGATTGACATCCAAAATGAGGAGTAGTACTACTAGTGAGGAAATTAGATGTGGAGCCCGGCATCACTATTCCCGTACAAATGAAAACACGTTTCTTTCTGAATATTTAAATCCCAGATTCAAATAATGTGGATAGCAATGGCAGCATATCCATGTCACTTGTCAGCATCAAAGAGCACCTTCTCCCTTAGTTCCAAGTTAATAGTTTATTGGTATCTTTTTTTTTCGTTTTAACAATTTACATTATTAGTAAAAATAAGACCGTCGACATGGAGAGTGTAGGAAAACTGGGTATAGAGAAAATATTGTTACGATGAGCTACTCGATCATCCTTTCATTATGACTAAGTGATTCTGTTATTTCATCAATCATTATTTCATGTCGCTGATAAATTTTCACAAAAATATATCATTATTTGTTTTTTTTTACAAGTAATGATGGAGGAATCCCGATTCTTTGGACCTCAAAGCGGGGTGCCCTGTAAACCCTTTTGATCAGATATGGAAAGTTTTCTCGAATCTTTCCCATGCAAAACTAGTAAAAAAGAACAAAACGTCGGATTTTAGGTTAATTATCGTATCCGCTTAGTCTTTGTACTCAAGTAGTAGTATTGTTTTTAGCATCTGCATTATATTCAGTGCACTTACGACTTCTTCTTTGAAGTTTGAACACTTGACAGTGCCTAAAAATCGTTACTTGGTTCAGATTTGGCATTGAGTTAGAAACAGCAGTCAAAATGATTGACCTGTCTCCTGGGATTAATACAGAAACTGACCCACAATTCCAATTTTAATAAATTATAAACACAGTTAAGACGTCAGATTTTACAGTCTATCTTAAAAACCTTAAATGTTGGAAGCTTGATCAGAGTCTTGGCTTCTTATGCTTTTGGAAACTTTATTTAAAAAATCAAACTCCCAGTTCAGCTCTCTCATCACTAATTTATTTCTTAAGGAAATCAAACCAAGCAAAAAACAGGAAATTTAAAGGTATCAATCACTAGTTAAAAGATGAATAGCAACAACTCTAGCTCTGTTTTAGTTCTAACAGCTTTTTTAGTTTACATGTCCCTCTTTGTTAATGCTGTTAGAAGTCAATCTTCATGCAATCCGAGTGGTTCAATCACCGGAACAAAAAGGACATTGCAACCGAGATTACGGAGCGGAATGTTGTGAACAGGGAAAAGAATACACCACTTACAAATGCTCACCGTCGGTTCCCGGCCAAAACAGAGCAATTCTGACCATCAAAGGCGGCGACGGAGGTGCGACGGAGAATACCACTCCGACGATGCTCCGGTGGTGGCGCTTTCGACGGGATGGTACAAGGGCGGAGACAGGTGTTTGAACAAGATTGTGATTCACGGGAATGGGCGGAGCGTGGAGGGAGGCGACGGTGGTGGATGAATGTGACGAGGAACATGATTACCAGCCGCCGTGTCGGAAACAACATTGTTGATGGGTCTAAAGCTGTTTGGAAAGCTTTAGGAATCTCCGAAGATGATTGGGGTGAATTGGAAATCACTTGGTCTGATGCTTGATTTATTTTTAGTCATCTTCTTGAACTCTAAATTTCACTTTTTTCTGATGTAGTATTATTTGTGTTAACGGTTTTAATTGCTTACAATAGAAGTTCATCCTGTTAATATTTGGATTATCCTGTTAGAAAAAAAAAAAAAGTGATTTTCGGACAAGAATATTTCAGACATAAATGAACGCTTGTCAACGATGCAGCAACAGAACACAACACAACTTGTTAATCTTGTAAGAAAAATTTCTGTCCAAAATTGTATTAAAAATGAAAATACAAAATGAATAATTTTCGGAATCAAGAAATAATAATATTGGCCTTCAACTCTTCAAAAGATAGCATGTCAAGTGTCCAAAAATTCAATTGCAAAAATACATTGCTCTTTCGTATTATATTGGGCGGAATTGGAGTTTGTTCGAGATGAAATAGTACTAGTTTAAGACGTAAAAAAAAGATTTGTGTTAAATTATTGACGCGGTTAATAATTTCTTATCCAAATGATTTTACTTATCATTTGCTCAGATGTTATCAGGGTTCAATCATGTGTCAATTGTTCCACATAAAGACCGGAACCCTGTAAAACATGCTTTGATTGGGTACAGGAATTTGGATTCTTGTATATGATCCGTAATTCCGTATCCATTCATAACTAACTATTCACGTGACTGTATTTTAGTACATCGCTCGATCATTAAACGACAGATGGGCATAGTTAAATGTTTTTTTCAATCAACAGATAAAAGATGACTCTACTGTCAAAAAAAAAAAAGAAAGATGACTCTGAATATAGTTATAACACTATCCATGTCTAGTTCTTTATTTTCTATTACCGTCTTTAATATAAAATATTTTGATTTGTTCTAGATTTCACCTAATACACATAACAATCGAGAAAACATAACGAATGTGAAAATATGTTTTTTATGAGTTTTTTTTCGATTAAAAATATATATCAGATAAAAACTATATCAAACCAAAATACCTTATATTAAGGACATGCGGGAGTACTAGTCTGCATTGATCTTCGACCAAATCGTGTATGGCTAAAAACTATTTTTTAAAAAAAACACACCAAAATGTAGATTACATAGACTGTGGCACCCAAGTTTTATGAGTTGGTAAAAATAATAGTAATCCTCAAAACCTTATTAAGGCATTTTGATTTTTCTAAGTTTCATTTATTATTTTTTTTTCAATTGAGAATGAAACTTTAAAAAAACTCTATAATAATTGATATAGCACATTAAAATATAAAAACATATTTTTAAGATTTCATTTTTAATTAAAAGAACACAGTACTTAAAATACATGACAAATCAAAATATCTTATAATAAAAACAAGAATGAGTTTAAAAAAAAAAAGAATTAACCTTGATGTGTAAATTAATGTAAAAAAATCGGGGGTGTTTCAACAATACGAAATGAATGAGGAGTAGTAATTGACGCAAGTATAATCAAATTCACATAGTTTCGGTTTCCCACAAGTTATATTTGAACCGCAAAAGTGAACAAAAACTCCTCCTATTCGGAGATCCTCTTCGCAGTTTCCTACGTTGTTTGTTCGAACGTGTAATACAGTCCAAATTCCATTTCCAAAAGGGGGGGTCCCGGTCCGAATCCGACCCCAAACAGAGAAAGCATCAGTCAACCCACTGGTATTTAATTATACTCTTATATAGCTAAAAAATTCCACCAAACTATAGTATAAAATTCTCAGGGGTTAACGTAAACAATCTTTTATACCCTTCAATCAATCATCACCAAATTTTTTTTTCTTTGTAATACTCTATGCACATTTAATTTAATCAAAAACCCATATTGTGGTTTTAGGCTCCATTCATATATACCCATTTTATTCTTTTTCTTTGTGCTGAGAATCGAACCGGCATAATAGCAATTGGGAATCCAGAATGGCGAAGATTTTGCTTCTGGGTCGGCCTTATTTCAATCGGCTGTTTTCATTCTTTATAGCTTTTAGTATTGGAGTTCACTGTTTTTTGTACGGACAAGTACAAGCTGCAGGGAGTGATGACGTTGGTGGTGATGTTCTTAATAATACTTATACTATTTCAAGCTCATCTTACCCAGAAACCCGTCTCAATCCGTATGATTGGCGTTATATAAGAGGTATTAAGAAAACTTGATCAGAATTTGTTTCACTTCCTCCTTTCTGGTCTGCTGCGTTTGTATTGTTCTTTTCGAAAATTTATCATTTCTCAGGATGGGTATTCAGCCGGGATTAAAAATTTGATCTTTTTGGTTTGTTGTCCTGCCAGTTTGAAAGCTCACACTGATTGATGTTGGGCGGGTTGAGGGCAAATAATTTCTGCATTCTGCCCCTGTTTCTTGATTCAAAGAAGTTATTATTGTTGTTCTTATTAGTGCTGTTATCTTTCGTCGTACAGTTTTGGAGATGAATCTAACACGTTTAAATTAATTAGGATTATTTGAAAGAAGTTTTCATTTAATAGTAGGGTCATTTAGATTTCATTGTTGGCATAAATGGTTCAGTATTCTGGGTTGTGCGCAAACAAGGCACCAGAGCTAATATATCCCACTACATGGGTTTGTTCCATGGATTCATATGGTAATTTTCTGAAACAAGAAGCCTATTGGTTACACAGTAGGGATAGCAACATTATATATAAATAAAAGGAACCAAAATCTGTCTAACTTTAGTTTATCACTATGCAGGCAAAAGCCAACTAGGGTGGTACAAGGGAGAATGTGGAAATGGATTAGAACATTGTGGTAGACAGAATAAGTAATGTATGTCTTCAAAAGAAGATGGAGTGGTCCGAATCCTATTAGTTGATTACTGGGTTGTCTGAATCCGGATAGATGACAAATAAGAATGATGAAGATGGGCTGGACATTTGTGTAAGAGAGTTTTAAATCCACCATCTCATCACATATAAAAGTTTGATCTTAATTTGATTAAAGGAAAAAAGAAGAAAATCTTTTGATGTCAGATGAAAGAGGTAAAGGGACAGTCTTGACAGGGTTTTCAATTAACATCAACATACCCAATATATTCCCAACCAAGTTGGTGTCTGGGGACTCAGATGTATGTCTTCACAGGGTTTTGAACTATGTTTATTGATAGAATATGAAGAAGCAATGTGATCAACGTAGCCAACCCCCACAAAGTAAATTAGGACTTGGTGGTTAATTTTGTTTGATGCAAATTCTCTCTCTGATTGAAACAGTAACCCTGTTCAGTTACCTGTTTTCCTCATCTTAGGACGCTTTTCACAGTTAGTTGCAAAATTAGCAATTTTAGTAGTGATGTTGTCAGGTTTACAGTGTTAGACATCACTTGTATCACGGTGAAATGCTTCAATAGATATTTATATTCATGTCATTTAGATATTGCGAAGACGTATAGGACAGCAGACTAGTGGGCACAGAGACAATACACACACGCACTTGTTTCTAACTAAGCTTGGGGGAATTTATTAACCTTGAACTATTATGGCTACTGTAATGTCTTATTGGAGTTCTCTGCTATTTTGTTTTCTTGCAGTGAACTTGCCACCGTGGTTTTCTTCAATGACAATAAATCTAGAATCAGACGTAGACCTCGTAAGGCTTTGAATTTGTATAATCTTGAGTATTTGTTCTTTGAATTTCCTCGTTACGTTTTCCATAACAAATGTATGGGTGGTTTACTTTTTCTCTCATCTTCATGCTTGTTGCAGGATCTGCGAAGCATTGGAAAAGCCCCAAGAAGCACTCTTCCCATGATATGTTTCCGAGAAGGGAGTCCTCCATTACCTGATGTGCATAACACTTCTATAACTGGTCTAGGTAAACTCGTGATGTATTAATCAAACTCCATGATCCTTATAGTGTAAGTTGAGATGGAATATTTTTGGATGGAACTTGTTTGAGTGCGCAGGCTTTGGTAGTACCTTTATACCAGAGATAAGTTAAGGTTTTGAACTCGGTATTTCTGATTCTTAAAAATTTCCTTGAGTTGATGATAATAATGTAAAGTGATGCATGTCCCGTTTAGAAGCTGTTTCCCTTGAGCTTAATTGGTTCTTGTTATTTCTTGGAGTGAATTGAATGTATTGCTTATATTTGTCATCTCAATTTAACGAGATAGCAGTATCTTCTTATCAGAACAGATATTTGTAATTCACCTTTTTCTTATAAAGGTTTATCTGCTGCAGTGTTAAAAAAAGTCTCTAATGGTACTTTTGGAGGGACTAATGGCCTTCAGACTGTTGAGGAGTGTTATCCGATGCAGAAGACATTATCAGTTAGATTGACAAATGAGCAGGTTCGACTAAGTTATATGGTCTTTTCTCCTGTTTTTCCTTCCTTTTCCTTTCTTTTCAAACATGGTTTTTGGTGGGTTGATCTTGCCCGCTGCAGATTGTGACGAATTCTCTCCCTCCATTTTGCTTGTTTTGTCAGCATAGTTTTGCAAACAGTTTTCTCCATTTTAGTTGTTTTTCGCGTTCGTAATACGTTTCATCATCATGGTAACTTTGAAATTGTGATACAGATATCTCCAGGCGTGTGGTATTTCGGTCTATTTAATGGCATCGGACCTATGAGAACGCAGTCAAAAATGGTAATCTGTCCTGTAGTAATGTGTCATGTCTTTATTTTTTCCTGGGTTACATTTAATGACATTTTGAAGTGAATTCTTTTTGAATCTTTTATACATTTTCTTGTTCCTATGCCGTTTGTCAACGTTGGGGAGAATTGCCTGGGTTTAATGTCTAACAAACCCGTACAAAATTTTGTTCAATTCCTTCTTCTCTCTGCTTGTTCATTGTAATTAGTTTACGAACTGTTTAAAGTTGGCTTCAAAATAATTATCCTTTGGTCTCATGGTGTCGTACTGTATAATAACCCAACAGAATTTTCTTGCCAATATTTTTTGTTATAGTTTTCCTTCATTCTTTCTTCTATAGGGGAATGCTTCATGTCTCTGCCTGAACCTAGTAATCACTTAAAATGGTGCCATCCAAGCATATATGCATCACTTACTGAAATTATGTCCACTCTTACTTGTCATTCCTCCTCCATATTTCCCCTTTTACTATTTCTTTGCATTCTGCCCATTCATTTGCTCAGCCTGAGATATCAACACCTGTTTTCATTGATGAATCATGAATGACTTCATTTGCTTTGGCTATATTTTGGCTTCTGGAAGCTTTATCTCAGTTAGTTCTTTTTACTGATACGATTGCAGATAAATCGAGGTCAATCATACTCTTTTCATGGTAATGTTACTGTGGAAGGATGTATAGCCCCAATGGTATCTGGCCAATTCTGCAACAAGACAGTCGATCTACTATCATGCATTGACAGCCCTAATTTAATTCAAGGCAGTTTTGATAACCATACCTCGGATAACACGGCCGAATACGCTGTTATTTGCAGAAATCCGGACAACAGCACTTGTACCTCAGATACTGGACCGAAAATCTTCTCTTTGAATCTAGTGGGGTTTTCTGAAGAGCTAATTCTTAAAGTATCAAATATTACTGTTAAATCATCAAAAAATTCAAATGGCACTATTACTGCCAGTGACATTATTTTCACATGTTACGCTCGTCATGGTGCCATGCCACTGGATACATTGCATGATTATTATGGCAATATCACGGAAGCCCCTTTAATTATATCGAGACCAAAAGTTGGTCGTTGGTATGTCAGTGTCCAACCTGTTAATCTTCCGATTGGAGAAGTTTGTTATTCTTTGGAATGGCAAGTGCTTCAGTGTCCAGTAGATAAAGCGGGACCAAACTGTACTTGGAAAAGCTACATGCTTCAGGTAAATTCATACAAATTTTCATGCTCTCTTTGCATATAATTTTAAAACCTTGCTCCTTAAACCACTATTTGGACAATCTGCAGTTAATATTTGAATTTAGAATGTTTTAACTTCGTTGAGTTTGTTATTTCCTGCCACTTGCCTACGATGTGGATCCACTGCTTCCTATATCTCCATTTTTATGTGATTCTGTATCATCTGTCACAGAATTTACTTGCTTGGATGGTTTGGTTTTGTTATTCACAAGCTGAAAATTGTTTCTTGCAGACAGTAAAAAATAATGGTGGTACTTTTGAATCCTATTACTTGCCAATAACAAAGACAGTGGCCTTTGATTCTGCTAATTTTCCAATAGAACCGCTGTTGAGTAATTCTTCTGGTGGGAATAGTGATGTTGCTTGGACATATTTCCTCGTAGATGTTCCTTTTGGTGCTGCAGGAGGCAACATCCACTTTCACACTGCTTCAGATGATAAGATAGACTACGAAATTTATGCCAGATATGCTGGGTTCCCATCTCTTGAAAACTGGGATTATTATTGTACGAACAGCACAAGCAGCAGCAATGACTCCATGTTTTTCAAGTTGTATGATGCCACTGAGAAGTCGATGAGTTTTTATATATTATACCCTAGAGAAGGAACTTGGAGTTTGGGACTTAAGCACCTTGCCTCAGCTGGTACTAAATCCATGTCTCGAACTACCATGTCTATCTCAATGGAGAGTTGTCCGGAAAAGTGTTCTTCTCATGGGACCTGTAAATTTGCTTTAGATACAAGTGGCCTGACATTATACAGGTTCATACCTATGATTGATATGTTAACTTTTTAGCTAATGCTTCATTTAGGCTCAATCTGAAATCCTTTCTTCTGCGCAGCTACTGTGCTTGTGACCGGGACCATGGAGGGTTTGACTGCAGTATTGAACTTGTGTCACATTCAGGTTTGTCTTTTAGTCTTAGGTGAAAAAGAATAAAAGTTGGATCTGGATTATTTGAGCAATTTGGCAGTGAAATACAGCTTCATTTTCACTGTTTAATTTTGTATGTTGGTCATGGAGTTTTATAAAACTGTCGATTTCATTTTGGGAATTGGTAGGTACTAAACCATTTAGAGCAGTTGGAAGCTTGTGATCGAAGACTTGTATATTTGAGATGATAGAATGTATTTCAGCTGTACTATATATGTCAAGTCATGTAATACCAGTACCTGCTGGATAAGATTCGTATGTGCACATTTTTATTATGTCTTGGGAACTTTTTATTCGTAATATGATGGATCTTCCAATTTGTCTGCAACATTTTTGCTCGAGTCTGCAATTTGGTTATGCAATGTTTGAAGTGTGTAGTGAAGGTCACCCTGGCGGTCATTTTGAGTGATTTGAAAACAAAATTTTAACCATGCTGGGGGTCTTAGTTATCTTTATTTTTGTCTTTGGGTGTCTTAACCATGCTGATCTCTTGTGGGAAAACGGGTGAAAACTTATGTAGGGCACTTATGGCAATCAATTTCACTTATTGCATCAAATGCTGCAGCCGTACTGCCTGCTTACTGGGCCCTCCGTCATAAGGTGAATATTGCTCACTCTCAAATGCAACATAGTAGCGACCATTTTTTATTTTAAAAATCTTCAGCGTGAAGCATGATTTGCTTTCTGATTTTGCATCATTACACCCAGCTTCAATACTATTTTTGTTTCTTCAGTTTGACATATATCATTGATCTGTGGTAGGCGTTTGCTGAATGGGTACTTTACACTTCAAGTGGGATTTCAAGCGGACTTTATCATGCTTGTGATGTTGGAACCTGGTGTCCATTAACATTTCATGTTTTACAGGTAATAAGAGTTGTGGCTTCTCATACAAGTGAAGATGTGTATCTCTTGAAGCACAAGTATTAATGTTTGTTTTTTATATATTTTCTATGTTCTAGTTCATGGATTTCTGGCTATCATTCATGGCGGTTGTCAGCACTTTTGTGTACTTGGCATCAATTGATGAAACTTCGAAGCGGACAATTCACACAGTTGTTGCCATAGTAACAGCCCTAATGGCTGAAACTGGTCCTACGAGGTAATTTTCCTCTAATTCAAGGTGTTCCGAATGCTGGAATAATGATAGGGATTTTCACTTCTTTTTTATAAATATTTAATTTTTTATATCTCTAGCAGGTCCTCCAACATTGTCCTTGTGTTAGCAATTGGGATTGTGGGACTAGTTGTTGGATGGCTGATTGAGCTTTCTACTCACTACCGGTCTATTTCTTGGTCCTGGTCCTGGCCAGTCGAATTTCATCTAAATATGGCTGATAGGTAAGTTAGCTTAGTAAACTTTTATATTGCTCCATATTACCCTTGTCAATATTGACCCAATATAAAAGCAAACCTAGAAGCAGATATAGTATTCGCTGATTTCGTAGGATTTCTACAAAACATAGTTTGGAATGTAATTTTACCGACAGTATTAGTTTGTACTTGTGATCTCATAAGACTAGAAAATTATCCCTTTGACCTGCCTCAAGGTGGACAGTGGTGATGTTTATTGATTCTGCTTTTGCTGAGGCCAATTTGTAGACCTAAAGTGTCTTTTTCTCGTTTGCAGCTGGCGGACCATGAGGGAGTGGATGCAAAATCTTATTCGAACACTTCTCAAACGATTTCGTTGGGGATTTGTGATTGGTGGGTTCTGTGCCTTAGCATTGGCTGCTATAAGTTGGGCTCTGGAAACTAGCAAAACCTACTGGATTTGGCACAGGTAAACATATAGAATTAAATCAATAACCCGCCCTTTACTACTGACAATTTTTTATCAGTCTTATAACTGATACCAAATTGTTTTTTTTTTCAGCGTATGGCATATTTCAATCTATACTTCATCCTTCCTTTTCCTGTGTTCGAAAGCAAAAGTTGTTAATTGTGTGGATGAAAGAACGTCGGATGGGAACTACGTGTTAACTCGGCAAAATTCTCAACCAAGAGACGACCAAAGAGATGATAGATAGGTGGTAAATAGAATCCTTTGCTGACTAAATTTATGCACTTTTGTATATTGAGTGCCTCTGTTTTTCATGTGCAGCCCTCAGTGCGAAGATAATGGGGATCTTTTGCTATCAAAGTAGGGGCTTTTTTTTTCCCTTAACGACCACATTGTTTAGGTGCTGCACGAGTTGTAAATATCTCACTAATTGGAGGAAAGCAGTTTTGAGAGTGATAGAAGTAGTAAATTACTTGAGATCCATTTAATCTGTATGTAATTGAAATGTCAGTAGAAGCATATATTTATATATTCTTTTATCATAGATTTCGATGAGCAGTCTTGGAATCAACTTGATTATCTTTTTGCCTCTTTCGAAGAGAAAGAAGATCAAACTGGTAATCCATTTAGAAATCGAATGGAACTGGAGTTCAGCCTCATCAAATACAATGCCAAATCAAAACCAAAATACAAAACTGAAAATTTATAGCTCAGTTCTTAACAAATACATCCTCGAATCTCCTTACAAGTCAATGTTAAATATGAGTCCTCCCAAAAAAGAAGAAAAAAAAAACTGGCATTTACAATTTCTGGAAAAAAAAAAAATGACAAAGTGCAGTACATACAAAGCTGCTCTCATTCTTCTGCCATTGAAAATCTGGCTTGAGAATCATCGGAAGAGATGTCTGAACCTAGCTGTTCTCTATAATCTTTCCGAATACTCCAAAGAACCTCTGCACATTTCCTCATTGATGGCCGATTCCGCCTGGTAGGAGCCAAACATACCAAAGCTAGTTCATACATCTTTTCTATGGCCAAGTTCTTTGCTCCACATCTTTCCAGCCTGGGATCCAAAGTTAGGATGGCGTCTCCTTCCATGAACTTCTTCATTGCCTGCAAATTAATCCAAAAAGACTTGAAACACACGAGAAAAACTATGTACCTATATAGAGCCTTAATCAACAAATCTCCCACATGAAAATGCTTGATGATTTCACCAGAACCGGCTCGAAAATTTGACAGAGAGGGTGATCAAAACTGATAAATGAATGATAAACAAACACATACCCATCTCACAGTTATACGTTCCTTCATTTCCCGTTTCGGCTCAATAGGCCGCCGGCCGGTGACCAATTCGACAAGCAGAACTCCAAATGAGTAGACATCACTCTTTTCAGTAAGCTGGAAGCTTTTTAGGTATTCAGGGTCCAAGTAACCAGCTGTTCCTTTGACTTGGGTGGAAACATGAGTTGCTCCTGATTCACTGTCGGCTGCCAGCCTTGCAAAACCAAAGTCAGCGACTTTAGCTCGGAAATTTTCAGTCAGGAGGATATTTGAGGATTTAATGTCTCTGTGAATGATAGGATGATCTGCAACAAAATATCAACACACAAACAAACCAAAGTTCACTGACTAAGTTTCACCAAGACCAAAAACAGATTCTGGATCATCAAAATGGATTTACCTATGTACATATGGAGATATGTAACTGCATGAGCCACATCTATTGCGATATCAAGACGGGAAGCGAATTCGAGAACCCTACCGTGCATACCTGAAAGAATCCATTAATGTCAGCAGTCAGCACCATGAAGAAACCAGGAAAAAAAATGCAGAAAAACATGGATGGCCTAACTAGGCTTGCAAAAAACTTACAATCCAGATGTTCTCTGAGGGTTCCATTAGGAACATATTCAACCACAATGATCCTTTCTTCCTCGAGTTCCAAGTATCCATAGAACTTCACTAGATTTAGATGCCCAACTTTTTCCAGAGTTCGTACCTCACTTCGAAATTCAGCTCCAGAATTCTTATCAATAACACCCTAAAGACAAGAATACATTATGAACTACTTTTCATTTGTCAATCACTAATGAATGAACTCCAATAACATGAACAGATACAGAGGAACGTTGCAGCAAAAAATAAATTGAAACAGTAATGGATGAAATGGTTTCTAACCCTTTTAGCACGTTTGATTGCAACAAGTTTTCCATCATCAAGTTTACCCTTGTACACTGTCCCAAAGCCGCCTTGACCAATTTTCAAGCTTGGGGAGAAATTCTTTGTGGCCTTGTAGATCTCTTCAATGCTGAATTTCTGATTCCTCGGCTCTCTGCCATTGTTGGAAGTCGAGTATGTCCCTCTTCGTCTCCTCTCCGTACTGCCGGATTGGCTAGAACAATCCGATCTTTCATCTGAAAATATAAGTTCCCTGAGAAATTTCGTTCCAACTCAAATTTGAAAAAGGGACTAATGAATCCAAAACAGAGGATAATCCCAAATTGCAAAAGAATAGAAAGACAGAGGAATTGTGATATTGTATACTATATCTCTTCCTCAATCTCCTCGAAATTTTAAAACTTCCAAATCTACAAGAGTTGAAAACATTTCAAAGTCCAGTATTTTTCTTCAGGACCATCATCTCAAGTCAAACCGAAATGTGTGATTCAGAATGATGACATAATATGGGAAGTATTAAAAAGTCTAAAGAACCGTGTGATTTAATCCAGTGACAGTGGCTTTTACCGTAGCTTTTGACACTCCCGGCCGGAACTTTCTCCGGTGGAGTAAAGCAAGCTATGAAAGCTCCGGCGACGCTCCGGACAGCGATCTTGACGGGGTTCTTGTCGGAGTTTGACTTGTAGGGGGAAGGTGAGGAGGAATAATACGGAGAAGGGCTCGGGGAGAAATGGCCCCGGCGGAGGTCCGGCGTTCCGGGCCCAGTCCCAGTTGAGCCGGGACTGGAGAGATTACGCCAGCGACCACCGCGGCCGGGGCTGGTCATGGTGGTTCGGCGAGAGTGTACGGTGGCAGAATAAAAATTGGCGGGTAGTTGTAATAGATTTGTATGAATTAATTATGGTTTACTTTTGTTTTCTTAACGACTCTGACTTTTGTAGGCTCCTCCTAGGAAATATTCACATCCAAACCCCCTCTATTTATTATTTCGTCTCAAAATAATTGCCTGATTTAAATTTTCATTTTTAGTACTTTTTTCGTTTCAGTAAAATAGTTCATATCATATTTTGTAGTTGTTTTAAAAATAGTAGAGCAATTCTCATTTACAATCTGAACTACTTTTGTGAAACAAAAATAGTATAAATTATTGCAAAAATGAAAATCTAAAGATGACAATTAATTTGAGACGTAGAGATTATACATTTTTCTCCTTTGAGTACTTCAAAACTAAATTGGTTGGAGTGAGCCAGCCATTTGGAAGGTTAAAATAAGTAGTAGAAAATATCATTCGAACTTTCGTTAATTTGATGGAACATGTGTGTATAAAGCAATTAAAATTCCTACAATAGAATAATTAATCACTCAGTATGAGTGAAATTGGATTAGTCCATGATGAATCATTCTAAATATGGGATTGAACATTCATATTCAATCTCCTATCTCCTTAAACAAAACTGAAAACTAATATGCTCTTTCTGTTTTAAAATGATTGTCTAGTTTAGATTTTTACTTTTTGTATAATTTTCACTAAAATATAATTTTAAAGTAGACAATAATTTCGGAACGGAAGGAGTATTATTGTTTGTTTTCGAAACACTCCCCCTTGCAAAATGCTAATTTTCTAGTGGTTCCCATAATGCAATAGGTGTGAAAATCAGGCGCATAAAGGAAATAAATGAAACGATTGGCACCCATTTTCCATGGTGGGTGGGCAAGGGAGGTTGTGGGCCAATTGTGTGCAAAATGGTCTAAAAAGGTTTTCCTTAAATGTCGATTTCAGGATTTCAGCTTGGGCCCATTTTAGCCTTCCAAATTAATGCATTAACCCTATTTTGATTGCTATTGTTATAATTAATCTACTTCTAGATTGAAATAATACATTATGCTTAGCTGTTCGCACCAATAAATTTACTATATAACCACACATAAACTAAGGAGTACTACTGTTCTAACAAATTCAAAACCCTCACTTCTTGTATCGTTTTATTATTTGTTCTCGGTCATCTGTATAAAGAGAATAAGTCTTGAAGTAAATGAATATATACAGACTTGATTTTTACATTAGAAGGATCACAAGTTTTAATTTGTGATTAATTATGATAATCTATGTACAAGCAGCTTGCAAATTTTAGTGGAATCGATCATAATAGATATATAAGTATACGCATAATGTTTCCCCTAATGTATCATATATTTGTAGGATAACATACAATCTCATCTACGCTTTCAAATAATATTGTCTCCACTTAGGGGGCCTTGACAGATTTGTCCATTTCTTACCCCCATTTGATGGGCAAATGTTAATCATACGTCAATATCTTCATCCTTCAGTATTAAAGTCCAAAGTAGTAGTAGATACACTTTTAGTAGTAAAATACTAGCATGAGGTACAAGAACTGCGATAAACAATTAATACTTTTGCACTTGCATTTCTGGCATGATTAACCCACCGATCTCCAGTTCTACCCCGCGTTGAAAAAAATTCCTGATCAACAATATTGCTTTCTCCAATTTCCAGAAATAGTCTAGATTTAATAATTGTACATGTAATGTATTCCTGTTTTGCTTGATCAAAATATTACTGTTTGTTTTCAAAACTAAAAATAAAAATTGAACGTGAATTTCATGTACATGATCTTTCGGTCTTATTTCTAAAGTTAAGATGCATTTTGAACTAAATTAGTTTTTAATTTTTGCCTTGTAAATAATATCCTTTCTGTCCCAATATTATTTGTCCAGTTTAGATCTCATTGTGAGCGTACAATAATATTATGAAATGAATTCAAATTGGATAATAATTTTGGGATGGAGAGATACCAGAAAGAGGGTATTCAACAAACACTCTATAAGGATTAAAAGAAAGACACAAAGAAAGAAATCCATATCCATACGCGCAATTGCCTTAAAATGGGCAACAAGTTTGTGGGGTTAACCAATCAGATAGCAATAATCAAGCGTTGCTGTATCCATTATTCGGCCTGCTTCAAGCCTTCCAACTCAACCAACTAGAAATGATATGCTGAAAGGAACCGCATCATCGTTTTGTTTTAATATTAATTAACAAAAGTACATCTTTACATAAGTGGATTGCTAGTCGAATTCACAGTGTCCAAATCACATTTGGTTGATTGGTATGCTTGGATACTAATTCAAGAAAACACAAGCTAAAGTTGGTGAAAACTGAAAATAACGAAGGCTCACATTAACTTATGTTCATTCAGGGCTGTTGGTTCCAATAGAAAATCCTTTGTCCGAAAGAAAATTTGATCTATTGGTCAAAGCATCTATCTAGCACAGATGAACTGAAACAGATTGATATTGACTCCTCAAAACTCAGGAGTTTGATCAGTGAGTTACTATTCACTTACTCAAAAACTGGGCAAATTTACTTGAGGTGAAGGAATTCAAGTTGACGAATCCTTGAATATTTGCACTGGATATCATCACCCTTGGATATTTGCACTTAACATTCCTTCGAACTCTTCTTACATGTACGGTATCCAGTTGTCAATGGTTAGCTAATCAGAAAAAAAAAATGGCACCGGAATCCTGGAAAATCAACAAAGAGAAAAAAACTCAACATTTTCTCCACGCTTTGTGATTTCACACTTTTTTTTACTCAATAATAAAGAGAGAAGTCAATGTAGTGTTCTTACATTGGATGTTGTGCTTGTAAACGTATTATCTTAGTCGTCAGCACCTAGAAAGTTAGGTTCTGCTCTCCTGTTTTCATAAGTAAAAGAACAAATGGATTCCTGAAAGGAAAGGACATAAGCTTTAGTGATAAAAGCACACCGAAAGTTTGAACACAAAGACAGTCATTGAATCTTTGTGTCTGAAAACTGGAAACAGAAAGAATGAAGAGCAATGCTTGGATGGATATGTCAGAAAAGCGACTGATCCTAATGCTGGTTCACGATTTTAGCAAAGATAAAACTTTCAGAAAAAGGAAAGAACAGCACATGAAACTATGAGGAAGACCTTACTTGGGTACCAACTGTCAAGACAGGTCTTCATTTCACCTGTGAATCCAGCTCAAATCATTGTGTTCATTTCCAGCCACATTTCAAATAGGTTCAAGCCAAAAAGTAGTCAAATGAACTTCTCAATGACAGTTCTTTTACTCAAGCGAACAACGGTCAAGTAAAGCTCTCAGTGAGTTCATCACTTTCTTCTCGCATTAACTCATAAAGACATCCCAAGATGGAATAAGCTCTTACAGCCTCTGGATGTGAGTTATCACTTGAGACAAAGGAATAGAGTTCTCCAGCAATTTCTATCCAGCTACAACCCGGAGCTTTTCTAAGACACCTTTCCCTCATCAATTTGCGGACGCTGGCCACATCCAACCAGGCGCTGGTTGAAGCATACATGTTTGACATGAGTGCATAATTGACAGGCTTGTTTGGCTCCAAAGCAAAAAGCTTTTCAGCTGTCCATTTGGCTAATTCTACATTCCCGTGTTTCTTACAAGCACCAAGAAAGGCCCCCAAGATATCTGAGCTAGATTGAAGCGGTACCGAGTTCAAAACATCAAAAGCCTCCTTCAAAAGCCCAACACGTCCAAACAGATCAATAAGGCAAGCATAATGCTCTGAATCTGGAATAATTTCGTAAACTTCAGTCATCAATGTAAAGTATTGTAACCCCTTGTTGAAAAGTCCACCATGACTGCAAGCAGAAAGAACTTCAAGGAAAGCAATCTGGTCTGGTTTCATACCAACAGATAACATCTTCTCGAAAAGTTCGACAGCTTCATTTGGAAGACCGTGCTTTGCATAAGCTCCAATAATGGATGTCCATGAAAGAAGATCAGGATTCAACATTGACCTGAAAGTTAGTGAAGCACAAGTAATGTCACCACACTTAGAGTATGCACTTATTGTTGCGTTAGCAACTGATTGACTCGAGGAAAAACCATTCTTTACAGAATATGCATGAATTTGCAAGGTCTCACCAACCAATGCCAAATGACCACATGATGTGAGGACACTAGCCAAAGTCAGCTCATCAGGATGAAAGTCTTCTTGTAACATTTTCTTCAGGAGTTTGATAGCCTCCACCCCATCACCATTTTGCCCATAACCGACAATCATAGTGGTCCAAGAAACTACATTTTTGAAGATCATTCGATCAAAAACATTCCTCGCATCTAACAGAAATTTATTTTTTGCGTACATATCAATAAGTGAAGTCGATACCATAACATCCAAATCAAGGCAAAGTCTAACAACAGTCCCGTGGATGCCGATGCCGAACTCCCAAAATCCAGAACTAGCACACGAATTAAGCAAACTTGAAAAAGTAAATTGATCACCAATGTAGCCCCCCAACCTCATTAATTTGTACAATGTTAATCCATCTTTCCCACAACAATTTCGCGAATAGCAGGAAAGCATCACATTCCAAAGCACCAAGTCTCTGTCTGGAGCAAGATCAAAGGCACGCCTTGCCTCTTCAATCATTCTGAGTTTTGCGTACATATCCACGAGAGCACTACCAACAAAACAATCTCCAAACAAGCCCAACTTTACTATAAAAGAATGTAACACTCTACCCATAACAATTTGATGACTACATCCACAAATCCGAAGCAGCCCCACAAAAGTAATCCGATCTGGTTTAACTAATTCCATCAGCATCCTCCTAAAATAACGAAAACCCGGATGGACCTTAGCCTCATAATCCTTACCTCTGCTAGCTAAACCAGAGATCAATGCGTTCCAAGTGATTACGCTTCTCGCAGGCATTTCATCAAACAGAAGGAAGGCATCAGAGACATGTCCACATTGAACATATAAACCCAACAGCGAATTCTGCAACGAC